ATAGATAGATATAGATAGATATAGATAGATATAGATAGATATAGATAGATAGATATAGATAGATAGATATAGATAGATAGATATAGATAGATATATATATATATCTATATATATCTATATATATATCTATATATCTATATATATATCTATATATATATCTAATATATATATATATATATATATATATATATCTATATATATCTATATATATCTATATCTATCTATCTATATCTATCTATATCTATCTATCTATCTATCTATCTATCTATCTATCTATATATCTATCTATATCTTATATCTATCTATCTATATCTTATATCTATCCATCTAATCTATCTATCTATCTATCTATCTATCTATCTATCTAATCTAATCTAATCTAATCTATCTATCTATCTATCTATCTATCTATCTATCTATCTATCTATCTATATCTTATATCTATCTATCTATCTATCTATATATCTATATCTATATATCACTGGAAAGTTATTCCCATGTAAATATTATGTGAATATTTATTTGCATACTATGTAAAATAATTTACAATAAATTTACATATCATGTAAATCTACAATTACTGTAAATACCCTTGTCTTTAAATTTACATCTTTGCACTGATCATGTAAATTTATAGGCACGGAAACAGAAAGAAGCAATACGATGTAAAATGTCTGTAAAAAGTTATTATGTAAAAATACTGTGAAAAGTTTGGAAATTACTTGACATTTTTGAAGCTGGATAGTGGGAAAACCATGTAAATTTCAAACGGGGGCCCGATAATAAAAAACATGGAAAAACCATGGGAATTTATTGAGTAGCAGTCTTCATAAAGTATGCCAATACCATGTAAATGAAAAGTGGGGGCCCGATAATAAAAACCATGGAAAACCCATGGAAATTTATGAGTAGCAGTCTTCATAAAGTATGTCAATACCATGTAAATGAAAAGTGGGGGCCCGATGATAAAAACCATGGAAAAATCATGGGAATTTATTGAGTAGCAGTCTTCATAAAGTATGTCAATACCATGTAAATGAAAAGTGGGGGCCCGATAATAAAAACCATGGAAAAACCATGGAAATTTATGAGTAGTAGTCTTCATAAAGTATGTCAATACCATGTAAATGAAAAGTGGAGGCCTGATGATAAAAACCATGGAAAAACCATGGGAATTTATTGAGTAGCTGTCTTAATAAAGTATGTCAATACCATGTAAATGAAAAGTGGGGGCCCGATGATAAAAACCATGGAAAACCCATGGGAATTTATTGAGTAGCAGTCTTCATAAAGTGTGTCAATACCATGTAAATGAAAAGTGGGGGCCCGATGATAAAAACCATGGAAAAACCATGGGAATTTATTGAGTAGCAGTGTTCATAAAGCATGTCAATACCATGTAAATGTAAAGTGGGGGCCCGATAATAACAACCATGGAAAAACCATGGAAATTTATGAGTAGCAGTCTTCATAAAGTATGTCAATACCATGTAAATGAAAATTGGGGGCCCGATGATAAAAACCATGGGAATTTATTGAGTAGCAGTGTTCATAAAGCATGTCAATAACATGTAAATGTAAAGTGGGGGCCCGATAATAACAACCATGGAAAAACCATGGAAATTTATGAGTAGCAGTCTTCATAAAGTATGTCAATACCATGTAAATGAGAAGTGGAGGCCCGATGATAAAAACCATGGAAAAACCATGGGAATTTATTGAGTAGCTGTCTTAATAAAGTATGTCAATACCATGTAAATGAAAAGTGGGGGCCCGATGATAAAAACCATGGAAAAACCCATGGGAATTTATTGAGTAGCAGTGTTCATAAAGCATGTCAATACCATGTAAATGTAAAGTGGGGGCCCGATAA